GTTAAGTAACAATAGTCTGGAATGTGTATAGGGATTGGACATGTTGGGGGGTACCCCTCGGTCTCATTTCTTGCTGGGTATACGCAAATGGCTTTTTATAAAAACACGTTCTATTTCAGCATTAAATGGGGTGTAACTTGCCAGACGAATTTGGTTTTTTCCCTCAGGGTTTACAAACTCCTAATAGGCAGTAGCTCAAAAGTTTAACTTTATCTATGACCCTCGTTATAAGCGTAACATCTTCCAAGCCTATTGACAAGAATATACTGTAAAAATCAGTGCTCTGGATATTCTTGTCAATATTCTGATCACAGTGCTACGCAGCCTTCCATATTTACCTTCCAAGCCTGTCGTTCTAAATAAAATATTCAGGGGACTTAAAAACAAAAACAATCGGAAGAACTTCTGAGCAAGACGTTTTTGAATTTCTTAGATTTGCATGCAGATAAGTCAGGTTGTCGTTAAGCTCGATGCAATAATCATTCACCTCATTGTCAATCAAAATTAATATGTAAGCCTACGTAGGCCTATACAAGAATAGCTCCCATCCATACTGCACACATTTCATAATGTACGAAGCCGTTTTCAAGTTACAAGTGCACGTGATTTGGTGGATCGCCGGCACTTTCAAGTTGAAAGCTGTCTTATTGAATATAAAGAAACTTCAACTTACTTCTTATTACGTACAACTTCCGATCAACCTTGCCTGTGAACATGTTAATCTGGTATTTGGCGGGGTCCTTTGTAAATTCAAAGGTATCTGGACACGGATGGAAAGCAACGATGATTTGAATTACGTTAACAACATTCGCAACAGGGTCACATTCCTCAAAATACATTCCTCAAAATTTGCTTCACATCAGGGCAATCTCAGCATTTACTCGTTTGACCAGCCCCATTTCTCTACAATATAATTCGTGACTAAATTTGAGAAGCGCAAGCCCATCACACACAGAAACATGACGTAACTACCATTGAGTCCCCCCCTAGAGCTCCAATTGTCTCTGTAAACCTTCGGCATTCATGTACAAGTAGACACATTTACATACACTGTAACAAACATTATCTGCTTGAATTCTGCTTGACTACGTAAAACTTGCACGTGCCCACTTCATGCCTATTGATAAATGTGTCAAACATTTGTATTGTAAGAATGAACAGCAACGACTCTATGGGAGAGTTGTCCAGCCAATACGTACGCATATACACCTCCCCAGCGGCCTTCTCCTGGAAGCAGTGGACGCATCGTGCATTTTCGTCATCACACTCCATGGTCTCGTAATAAAGACCCTATCCGAGAAAAATAGACAGTGTGATTTCGATCATGCGTGGTGCGATGGGCAACATGACACACTGACAGTCCGTCAGGAGCTGAGTGTATGGAAATTAAACTAGGGGCTGTTGTACGAGTAGGCCTACAACTGCTGACTCCATCGCTTTTATGAAACATCCTACACGTCCTAGCAATGGTACCGCTCACTTGCTGTCAATCCACCACATTCTAATTAAATCGTACCATGATCTCAAAAGCTAAGACAAAAAGTACACCAAAGACAAAACGGTAGTGCAGCAAAATGGCATCGCACCACAGATGAAATATTTAAAAATGGAATCACAGATAGGAAGTATTTAAAGTACGAGAATATTACCCAAAGAGAATGTCGAATTTTGGACTAATTTCATTGCGAAATCCATGTCTTGATTCAGCCATCAACAGCGGAAAAGTGTTTCTGGAAGTTTTGTCCACAAAGGCTACTGGTACAATTTCCAGGGCCCTATAAAATAAAACCGGTCTTACCAAATTGCTCATGGCGGGATCATTACTGGGCTTCCAGAGTGCAGAGACGTGGCAAAAGAGAACCAGGCACAAAACAGCAGCAGCTGAACCCCACATATTGACGGGTAATATTCCGGTGGTGTGGCGGATGAGAGACACAAAAACCTTCCACTGGTTATCGGCGCAGTCCCGCTTGCTTTTTATACCTACCGCGTATGCGCATACAGTTATGAAATTAAAGAAATGCTAATTGGACACTGAACATTTCACCGAGCATGCGTGTTCCGATCATAAAACCTGCTACCGTTGTATTAGAAGTATCCAGTTTTCAGTTCGCAATTTTTGCTTCAGGTTACGCCTTTTAAGAAATATGTGGTTCCAAAATATTTATATATATTTTTCCCTTGGAAGTTTGATATGCAAATTCAATACGTCATAGTTAGTTTTGTGCCTAAATCAAAGTGTGTGTGTCTTTTTTTTACTTAAATAATGTTCTGGTGATGGGTTCTTCCCAGTATCACCTGAGAAACACAGGACTTTTCTCGAAACCATAAATGCCGGAAAGCTGTTCTTCAAACATGACAATGAGAACTAGGTTATCAAAGGTATTAGTAGAACATTCACCATAGATATCTAAAACACGGAGAAACACCGTTTTAAATTAGTTGAACATGAACAATTCGGTTGTGCAGCAGATCAATGCAAGGCGAGAGAAAGAAAGTTGGCCTAATGTTGATGGAACTTTAAACTTTTAACTTGCTGTTGTTCCCCCTTCCCATCCTAAAAAGTGGGCTTTTGATAAATTTTTACGCATAATAGAGCATTTCAACTTATTTTGTTACTTTTTTTTTTTACGTCTTTCGTGACATCGGGCAGCAGCTGAACAGATCCGCTACCGAGCATCGAAGCACGTTAAATTCTTGCAGACCATTCTCTGATCTAGACAACGATCACTCTTTGACTTTAGGAATTGGCGTACGTTCGGCCATAAAAATTTGCAATTCCTGTGCAATAAAACGTTGTATAATAACAAAAAGAAACCGCACTTCGCCGATCATGCGGAAATTTCTGCACATATATTTTTGTCTCCCTCATGTATTAATTATTTGAGACTGAATGCAACTGGAATATGGCTATCAAATTTGCATCTTTATGGCTCAGTTGTACTTTGCATTAATAATTCCATTCAGTCACGTGAATGTGTGCCGGCGACCACTGAGATGGGGAATGACTTTTCGTCCCAATACTCGAAAAGCGTGAGGGATTGTTAGACACCACAAGACACTAGAGGGTGCTGTTCGTAATACAAATGTACACCTTCCGTATACTTAAGCCCTTGGCCATACGACAAACGGCTTCATTAAAGCATCTGCATCTTTTCCCCCTTTTTTGTATTGCCGCATATTTTTTGGTTGTTGGCGGGTTAAAAAAATACCTCTCAGCCCGAAAAAGTACGGGCGGGGGTTAATCCAATAGCCCATGCCCCAATCAAAAAATGAGGGGATTATACCCCTACGCTGCTGGAAGTTATACCCCAGCAAAGAAGAATTAAATCATGAATTCATTCTTGTTTGTCTTATATTGGGGCATATCTCTGCAAGGCAAATTGAACTACATGAAAAATGGCAATAAATAGCAGTTGGCTTTTTATGTTTAAAGGAAGCAAGCTAACTATCCTTAAAGCTCAAATGCTCATGCATACGGAACAATTTCTGTAACAGCAATATAAACAAGATCTAAATACCTCTTGTCATTAGATATTAAAGTGGTAGCTTTTCTTTCTTAGAAAATCTTGTCAGCAAATACATTTTACAGAAGGTGCTGCTTTCTTTTGTTACACAAGGCATCACTTGTCAGAAGAGCACAAGAAAAAGTACAAAACGTCGTCTCACAGTTACCTCTCAGCAAAATTTTGGAAAAGAAAAATCATTTCAACTTACTAAACAAGCTACATAACACAATAAACAAGATAAAGTGGAACTTACTCCAAGAACACGTAGCAAAGTGTGATATTTGTTCACAGAGCAATACACAACTGCTCGGCCTATATTACGCTTTAGTTCACTAGTTTTGAAATTTCATTGGTATAAAAAGCAACATGTTGAAGTTTATCCCTTTTACTGCCGCAATTGAGTTGGAAAGTCAAAGTAAGATTCTAAAATCCCTTTCTACAGACTGAAAGTCATGCAAATCCTATTTCGTGTCTCCTTAAAATGACCTGTATTTGCCTGCCCTAGTTTTGGCGACACATTACAAAGCTATCTCCATACAACGGCCTACCATTAGCAGCGTCATGTAGGTCGGGAAGGGGTATACACGTTTGCCTTAACCCCCCCCCCCAAGAAAAGGGGGGCACATTTTGAACACGATATGGCACAAATTTCTGGGGTTTTTTTCTTGGGTTTCTGACCCAACTGTTTTTCTTTTGCTGTATTTACTTCTGAACAGCCGACCTGGGAAAAAAGTCAGTCGATGGAGTCTGCTGAAGTACACGTACGCCTACACAATTACAGGGACACCGATACCGCATGGTTTGTAACCGAAGTGATTACTATGTTGATTAATTCAGTTGGGGTTCCAAGGCTGCACTGTAAACCAACGTTGAGTTTTATTGTCTTTTTGTGTATTCTTGAATATCCGATGAGGAATACATCGAAACAATAGCCAAGGCTTACCGCATAATCTCGGCATAATCATCCACCTGAATTTGTTGAGCATCCTCTCACCGCTGAGTGATGGAAAGATTTTGGGACAAACAAGCAGCACATTGTACTTTACCCCCAAAATATCATTTTCCTGCACATTTGCTATCTATCTTGTAAAAAGTCGTCATGTTTGCCTTAAAATTGCTCATAATTATACCACACATGCCTTTAAAAAATCATCCACAGTAAAAAAAACTTTAGATAGAGTAATTTTCAGAAATGCTCATTATAATCCAGTCATCGTGAGAGCTTGTTATTCCTTACAAAATCAGCATTTTTAAAAATCATCTACTGTTGATCAGCGTGTATAGCAGCTAGCAAGGTTTTATTAACATGTGATTTTTACTTATTAATGTAGGTTAGAATTATTTATGTTTGCAAAGTGAAGAGATCTGTAATTAAGTTAATCTTTCGCTTTCGTACCTCCAACTTTATTGAAAGCAAAATTTTGTTCATTTTTAGAGTACAACCATTACCTCACATAGGCCAAATAAGGACCTTATAAACGATAAAAGATATCCAATATTATACACCTATAGTTTTACGATTGGGCCGTGGAAATTGATGAAAAATAACATGAATGAAATATTACAGTTTTCAAACTTTGTTACATAAACTAAAACTCGAATGCCTCATAACGAACTGTACAAATTAGAGTATAAAGAATAGGTCGTTTCTTCATATCGATAAGGCTTATATAATTTGGCTATGACTTCTGCTTTCTAATTTGTTATGAAGTAAATACGTTTGACTTTCATCTGAAAAACAAGAAAAAGCTAATGCTGAAATTTAATATTAAATAAATACAAACATAAAACACGATGTTTGAACAGACATTTACATCAAGAATTTTCAAAGCAACATACTAGAAATTTTCCAAAGAACTATTCACAGTGCGTATAACTTTGTCAGAAATAAACCCCTCTAGAAACGTACACGTGTATATATAGAAGTGATGCCGATGTACAGTACGTATTAATAAATCTGCACTGCAAAAACTCCGTTGTTAAAGTTACCCCCCAACGTTATCAGAGAACTATACACCAGCATTTTTCACTGATGTTAAAAATTTGGGGTTAATTGGTGTTACTTTTAACATCCTCCAGTGTATTGTAACACCTATAGGTGTGCAAAGTAACACCAGCAGTGTTAAAGTAACACCCTCTGGTGTGGTCATCTGATAACACCAAAAAGTGTTGATGTTAAACAGAGTTTTTAGAGTGTGGCTTCACAGTACGAATAACAGTACTTGCTCGGGGAAAACAAGTCTAAATTCCACAAGAACGCGGTGGATGATTATTAATGAATGCTCAAAGGATCATCAAATTGGAAGGTTAAAGTGTGATTTAAAACAAAATTGACTGATAAAAACAATCCTTATGTTACAAAATAAGCTATTTATCCCGCAAAAATAAAAAAGAGAGCTTCAGGTGGAATGGACTATGCCTTAAAATATAAAAAGGATTAAATACCTGAAAATGTTTTCGCACAAACTGAATAATAAGATAAGAATGTGATTAGCGGAAATTCAAAACGTCTCTGTGCGTGTATGATTCATCAAATCGAGGGGAAAACAGCCTCGTCATTTACTGCAACTCAGCGCAACAGCACAGTCAATGTAGCACATGTGTTTGAATATAGTAACCAGTTGCCTTGTGTGAAACTGAACTGTACTACGGCAACAGTGACGAAACAGTTTTAAAAGTTGGGGGGGCAAGCCCCGGTAATTAGACTGAAAAGTCAAAATTATGAAGTTGCAATACCCCCAACGGCTGGCTGGCCCATAAAGTGGGGGGGGGGCAAAATAACTATTCTTGAAAGGTAGAGGGCAACACCCCCCCCCCCCCCATTTCCGCCGCCTGTACGTTCACCTGGTAATGTATGATAAATAGTGCGTACCCGCATCTGATAGGATTTCAAAACAGCAGCTGCAGCTGAAAATTGCAGTTCGAGGTAGGTTTCGTTCAAAACGTAAGGAGCAAGCCGTGGTACCAAGCCCTCTATTGGCATTATTAGGCCAGCTCGCTTCCTCTTACACGTGATGAGAGTGCATTACGTTTGAAACACTTGCATTGTACGAGTATCGACTACTGACATCTACAGTCAAGAGTATGTTCACTCACTGCAGTCCTTCCTGAACATATTTTTTTATCTGCAGTCAGATGCGAACAGCGCCATCATCGTACGTTCCAGAGCCCATGAGATCGACGCGCATGTTCGAAACGAAACCCGAGTTGTTCTGCACAGCTCTCAATTCACGAGCCTTTTCTTGCGTTTAGTCACAGCGTCACCAAACTGTCGGGCAACAAGGCTCAAAACGCTTCTTACATTTACATACTTTTAACTGGGCCTATAAACAGAACACATAATTTGTAATTTTTTTCAGGTGCCTTATCTTGCTGGAAGCTGTTCATCATACCGAACAGTCTTGTTCAGTGCTCATAGTGACAACCAGTGTTTCCTCTGTTGAGAGAAAGCAGAAATTGACATCGGAAATAGTTAGCAGTAGCTGCAAATGTGACCTTCGATGTGAATCCTCAAGTTTCATGGAAAAAAACTACAATGCCGAAAAAATATTACAAATTCTAAATTCTTTGCACGTTATTTTTCCTATCCATGGGTTCCGGAAGCGCGCCATCGGGGGTCAACTTTCAGGCTCTATAATACCACACTCAGCGTTATTTATTTTGATCTATTCAAGGTAAGGAACCGATCACTGTTGTAATGTAAACATATCACGGTTACTTTTGAGAGGCTACCGTGTTCAATAGAATGAATGAAAATCGGTACATGTAAAATGCATTGTTTAATAATTACCTGGAATCTTCTCACGTCTCCCTTACGGACATCATTGTGTTCGTTCTTGGGTGTTATGAGAAAAGCCAATTTCTGCATTTAAAGAGAAAAATACCAACAGTCAGCAATATGTTTCTTTTCGGTCAACTTTTTTTTTCTCGTCTTTTTCTGTGTGCGGCCTCCCTTCATAAACTGAGAACATTTTACTTCACGTGGTGAACCAGTCTCGAGTGAATTACGTCAAAAGAATCATTATTTCCAAACCAATAACGAAAGTAACACTGAGTATTTTCAAAGTCAACTCTCGAACAATACAGTTAGCACGAACACTGGCAACACATATAACAGACACGAAGTTCTAGTAGCTTCGTTGGTTCCCACACTTGGCCTAAAGGGTGGCCTAATTTCTGCAGGATGAAAGACGTCAATAATTTAAGCTGTATAACAGGTCTAAACACGTCCGTATGTACCTGAAACGTAAGCGCTGCAAGATAGAAGGCCCACTTTCAGGCAGTAACGGAAAACGATAACACCGCGCGATGTTTTACGTTTACACAGGACCCGAAATTCGTTATATTAATAACAAACACTTATGACGTAGCAGCCACACCTAAGTGGCCCGAACGCACAGTCTCAGCGAGGTATCTTTTGAAAAAAATTCTGGTTTCCAAACGCAGCGGCCTGTCGACCGCATGGTTATGCCGCTCTGAATGTTAACAACCCAAGAAACACTATCCGCCCCGAGCTGAAGTGTGCCCCCAATCGGCAAAAAGAGAGACAGGTGGTTACAAGCGGGTTCTTGCACGCGTTCTGCGTGTATATGCGCCTATACGGTGAGTACCCAAAACACACCCAATTTTGTTCCGCTCGGAGCGGGTAGGTTTTTATTCTTTTGACCAAGCAGGATTTTGCTAATGCGCGTGTGTATAAGGGCTTTATCCGGCTCGTAAGTGTGACGTCACTTCAGTTTAAACCACGCCCACTACACATGCACTGCACATAGAGTTACATGCATATCGCATCGCCGTTTACATGGAACGATGGAACCAGAAGTCGTGGCGCGTCCGCCTTTGTGACGAAGTCACTAACCGGATAGCAATGCGCTCATCATTAATAGCGAAACGCAACGTCGCCAGACTTCACCTACCGTTTTAAAACCGTCTCCCTCTGCCTTGAACACGTTGACCACGGCAAATATCGGCACGAAAATCATGGAGGAAATGGCGAGGAGCCATCCGAATGCCTGACCCCACGGCGGGTACACGTAGTCGTCGTAGGTAAGAGGCTCGCTCAGTGCCAGACTAACAAAGAATACAAGCTGGATGGGAATTCAAGAGAGATGAATCGCATTAAATCAGAATTATGAAACGCCGTGTCACTAATAGTGACAGAAATAGCTACCCCAGCACTGTACTCTATCGATGTATTTTACTATTCACTATCAAGGAATTATTATATTTAACCTTAAAAAGCTTTTTTTATACCATCTTACAGCGGGAGGGGACAAATTTCGCCTACCCAAGATACCAGCCGTTCCATGCCTGATTAAAAAAACCTTACCATTAGGCCCCCCCCCAAAAAAAAATGACTCCGATTTCTGGTCAGCGTGCACGTTACGTACGCGGCCGGCGTTACGTACGCGTGCAGTTGCGATGGACTTCGTGCGTTATACGTACATCATCCCCAGAAAAAAACTGAGGGGCCAAAAAAACTGCTTCGCCACACCACTTTTAGAGCCAACTCTTGACCAGAAACCAGAGACTTTTGGGGGGCTTATGAGAACATTATAAGTTTTAACTTAACTTGACAAAAGACTTTGCGATTACCGTATTTTTCATTCACGCCCTTACGAGCGTCAGCCCGTGTGCACGAGCACATCAGTGAGAAAAGTTACCATTTTTGCCGACCTTTATGAGAAAAAATTACATTTTGCAAAAACAGTATGTCCAATTTTCATCAAGTTAATGAGAAAATGAAATTACAATGAGAGAATAAAATTAACCAGCAAAAAACCATACGACTTGGCACGGGAAATGTGTTACGACAATACTTAAAAACATTCTTTTAGGGTTAATTTGAAATCCCTACGCATGTTCAATCCAGAATAAATACCGCTTTCATCTCACCGTGCCAACCTAATTACCCTTTGTTTCCCTCATTGTAAAGCTTGAAAGATCTGCTTCACCTTCTCCCAATGCATACCTGTAAACGATTACATAATTGAAATTAACAAAAAAGGAAAACAGAAAAACAGCAAATAAAAAACTCACTGTTAAGAAAATAGGAGCAAATATCTTCCAGCAAAGTCTCCACCAAATTCCTGGCTTGAATCCCAACATCTCTTTTATGTTGTCAATGAAGTTATCAACTCCTGAAGTATAATTCGTAACATTCTTGTGACAGACATGGAATGATTATAATCCACATTCATTTTGAATTTGTATCATGAAGCGTTAATTGTGACTACACCTTCTGCCGAAATTTATTACATGCAAGAACGCTCTTCTATCTTAATTTGTTGAGTTCTGTGCTGTGTATAATTCCCAAGTTTCCAATCAAAGTAGCGTTCGCAACGAGTGGCATTTATGAGTCCGTGTTGGACCATNATTTCCCTAGTACGTCGTTCGTCGCCCAGCGCCCTGTTTTGGCGCTGGGAAGGGCTGATGGCCTTGCACAGATTTTAGTAAGGGAAACACGTTACACGGGGTCACAGCTAACGACGCGCAGAGCATTGTGGGTAGATTTCTGCTAGGCGCGCGAGCTCGCTCAATGCGTTACACAAGCAGCAGTTTGCAATTCGATATTTTTTTTCTTTTTCTTCCTCATTGCTGGAAATATTCTCACTAGGCCTACACTTTAAAGACCTTTTCACTAATAAATTCATAATTATGCACGCATGCACACAAATGTCCTTGGCGGCAATTAGGGCAAGCGGGCCATTGAAAATGTACAGGGTGAGACTTTGATGATCATTTTCTCTCAGGTGTTTCGGCTTTGTTGAGTTTTTCTTCAGAAAGTCCCATTAAATCGTATTTGCTATTAGTTTCTAATTTAAGTGGAATTTTTAGACTTTATAATCGTGATTTTTCCTGTGCGCACAAGATCGCCGTTTCTTAGTATGGCCTCGTCCATCATAATTAGTATAAACTACATTGTAAGTGTTCTTGGAGCCAATCTGTGCATTTGTAAAAACAGGTAGGGGCCTAGTGATGTTCGATGTACATGTACCGGTAATGTACCCATTCGATTCGCTGCTTTCTGCTCTTGGGAAATCTGAAGAACCAGATCCCTTTCTCTTTGGAATCTGCACTTTGTCTTGTACAACCCCAAACACAACAACTGGATACCATTTCTTTCGGTAGTACTCTAAGCTATGACCAACTTCAATGGTAGGCTATGTACGTACAGTATATATGTACATTGAACGTAACATAATAACAAACACAATTTAATAGGATTTTCTGGAAAGAAATGAACAAGGCAAGAAAACCTGAGAGAAAATGGTCATCAAAGTTGCACCCCTGTACGTTTTCAATGGCTCGCTCAAACTTCTTGCCGCCAAGGCCATTTGTGCGCATGCGTGCATAATTCTGAATTTATTGGTGAAGAGGTCTATTCGTTCGTCCAAGAAAGATCAAGATATCCAATGATTTGAAAAATATCGCCAAGTGACTGGGATAAGTGATACTTTGTGAAAAGACAATTTACCACACTGTGATTGTGCCAAGGCCATGTTTTATTATAGCCGAGACTTTGCTCGTGGCGAATCAAAAAATGTAAATAACGCTTGCTAACAGGAAGTGTTAACATCGTGGTCACATGTCGTGCACAATGCAGCCAATCACAGTGCAAAGCCCATCGGCCGCTGGGCGACGAGCTAATCCTAGTACAGGCACCAGCATTTCTTTGGTTCACAAACGACTATGGCATGAAATGCACGCGCTACGGGAGGGTCGATACCAGCACACTGAATACTCCCTAACAACATGGGCTCTTTTCAACCAACGAAGGGGTGTTTCTACTCAAGGCCGGATACTAACCATAAAGCCATGATATGATGATCGCTTCTAGCATGACCACGAAGAGAAGGGAGGCACCAGCCGCGAATCTCTCCTGCAGCACGAACATGTAGATCCCACCGTACGTGACGTTGAGCAACGCGCAGAAGAAAACGCTTACCACCACGCCAAGGGTAAGGAGTTTGCGGTGGTTCTTGAAGTACTTCGGAAATCGGTCCGTGAGGCCTGATATGACGGCTTCCAGGCCGCCGAACTGTGGCGGAAAAGCAAAGGGGAAAATTTTGGGAAAACTAAATTGTATGTCTACAATTAAACTTGGGTTTGTAGCTTGAGCCTTTGGTAATTCAGATTATTGTTCGTGATATCCGTATTAAACCTACACGGTGTTTGACATTATGCATTCTAACGAGATGTATCTTGCACGAATAAACCTAGTTCCCCACAACTAACATATTAATACTGCGATATTTTGTGCGGTGACAGGTTTATTGATATCTTGAAGCAATTTGGGGGCCAGGACTTTGGGCCTCAGGATCAAGATGAAGGGGGCGTGGCAGCCCTCATAATTACGTCACTGATCCCTGAACGCTTAGAGGAGACCAGCTTGTGCTCAGCCATGTTCGTATACTACACTGTGGAGGGTAAATTTGCTCACCGAGCTATCGAGACCTAACGTGATAAGCATCAGATAGAATATGATGGACCAGAAGACAGAACCGTCCATGGTTGCTATGGCTTCTGGGTAGACCACAAATACGAGTCCTGGACCTGACAACAAAAATGGGGAAGGCAAAACAATATTAAATCGGCAGTTAAGTGCTTACATGCATAAGCTGTACTAATTCCGTAACAGCATCTAGTAAAGATCCGTAACACAGAACAGATGTCATTGAAAACCCCATAACTTTGCTTTGTTTGCATCCTCGATACCAGTGGATATTCGTTTGAGGACACTGCAAAACAGCATCTCAGCAGATTAGAATGCTTTGATTGCCTTGAATGCTTTGATTTGAATGATTTGAACGCCGGGGGAGCAGTCACTCTGAAGTCTCTTTTTATTAAAATAAATTATATACGAAGGGTCTCACTGTATTTCACTTTCGTTCTGTAGTACAACATTCACAGCACGGCATGCTAGAAAATTTTGACCGCTCGGTCTGGCTTTGGTAAGGTATAAGGTAAAGGAAAAAATCCGAAAATCCAAATTTGATCTGCAAGACGCAGTCAAATTCTATCGACAGACAATATATAGGACGACGACAATGAGGCCTTTAAAGGCAGATGCTAGATGTCCCATTCTGTCCATGGCTTGCTATACCTTCTGTGGCAACGTCCTTGATATCTTTGCCAGTGGTCTCTGACATGTATCCCAGCACGGCAAACACGACGAAGCCGGCGAAGAAACTCGTCACACTATTGACTGCGCTGGTAAAAAGAACATCCCTGTTTCAAGGGCAGGAGGACAGAAAATAGAGACACAATGAATGTCAAGGCTTGCTTTAACTCAATCCATTGCACTTGCACATGAACTTAGTTTTCCAGTAAAAGTCAACATTTTGTTGGCCAGTCTTAGCCACATGTTTACCAAGTCTTTGAGCACTGATGTATTGGAGGGTGGAGAATAAAATTACAAACTTTGCATGGATAACGGAACAGTGTATCAAAACTTTAAAAGTTTATTTACGATGGCAAAAGTAGGTCTAATATCAGGGATTTTTCTCTATTTCCTGGTCACAGCAATAATTTGTATTTAATTGCAAGCAAAAACTACAAGTATTGCTAAGATATTACTGGCCCTGCTTGTCCGGCTAAGATGCAGGCAGTCATCAGACATTTTTGGAATGTTTTCTATTATTCGCCGGTGGCGACCATCATTGAACACTTTGAAGTGCCCGAGTTACAACTCCTTCTGTGTCCTTCCTCTATGGTCTGGTGTAGTCATCTGATAAAACCCAGGGTGTTAAATTAACACCACAGTTTTTACAATGTTCTGTCTAGAGGTGAAATACTGCCCAATTCAGTGCCAAAAAAGTGAAATAATGCCAGAATCAAAAGAGTGACGGATAAGGTGTGTGCCAGTGCTCGAAAAGTTTATCCAACCGGGTGAAACGGTTTCCACAATGTTTGATCTTGCATTCACTTTTGTATAATTCTGTAAAACTAGAATTTGGTGGAAAAGGGCCTGACCTGCTAAGTCCTTATTAATTAGGCTGATGAACCAAATGTTAGGACAATAAATCATTCTGGGAATGGACTACAAATACGGCATGATGCAAGATGGAAGATCCAAGGTAGCAAACATTGAGTTATGGTTGCGAAAATTACACCGATTCACTCTGATCTATCTTAAAATTTACATTAAGTTAAGTTAAATTTGACTTGGGACAAGATTACAAAATATTACTTGTAAATATTGTTGTGGAATTTATTGTAGCTGGCGTAAGCCAAGTGAACACCGAACCCAGCGCCGGTTGAAAAGAATATCTGGACCGCAGCGTCGATCCAAACTTGGGCTTCGAGGAGGCGACCGAAGTCCGGAGTGAGGTAGTAGAGGATGCCCTTGCCGGAACCCGGTAACGTGCAGCCATGGATGAGAAGCACCAACAGGACTATGTACGGTAAAGTTGCCGTCACCCAAACGACCTAGAAATTTTAACATTGTCATATATTAAACATATCACTTCCAACCCTCGGACTTTATTGTGCTGAAATGCTGATGGTGTAATCGCGATAAGGAAACCCGAATATTAAATAGCAAGAGTACTTTGGTTGGCGGCATAGTTTAATTGTTTTGGAAATTGACCCAAGCTGATTTACCTATCAGATCTGTTTCTTGTTTTTGCACCACCAACATGTCCGCTTAGCAATTGATTTCTTTTTTTAATCCTTGCACTAGGAACAGTGTGAAAGTGTACCTTCACCCTTCTGTATCGAGCCACTGAAACACACCCCTTCCTCTGGAAGGACCATTTAGACAGCCCTCACTTTGTATTTTGTCGGACCTTCACGGTGGATAAAATATAATCATTTCCAATTGCAGACAGGAGGGGAGGACACGACAGGCTGAGCCATGGAAGGTAGTATATCCACCTCTGAAGGTTCGAGGACCCACTTTCAATGAACTGAAATGTCAGCAACCGCAACCTCGGTATGACATTCCGACGGAAAGACTCTAAACGGCCAAGGCGAGGAAGGTACATATACCCACCTTCTCCGAGGGGTTGACGACCCATTTCCAATGACCTGCAACGGACTCATCAGGGAAACTTACCTTTCCTGAGGACTTGACCCCTTTCCACAAGGAGAAAAACAGGACAACCATGACAGCGAGCAAACACAGAACCAAATCCCACTTCAGTCCGACTAAGTCGTGCAAACCCTGGCTCAGATGCATTTCTAAAACTCTCCGTCTGCAAAATCAAACGTTGCACCTCATAATCTCGACTTCAAATTCAACTTTCCTGACCTTGTAACCTTTAAGGCATTTATATTTTTGCAGTATAGCAGTGACCGATATTGTTGAAGGTTAGACTGACTAAAACCTGCATTTTGTTTAGTGCAGTAGCTCATTTTTACTTATCGTGACTCACATATAGATCTTTTTGCTCCCTATCACTGATATGATTCGCCAGGGGTTCATGCAGCAAGTAATACACCCATATTATAAATGCCCATGCTTGTTGTAAAACACAAAATCCCATTACATTCTCACTGAGTAACTGCGCAATTTGAGGCAACAACTCTTGCCAACCTTGGGTTGATCATTCTGCAAACTTTAGAGACCAGTCAAATGAAACGGCGTTAATTGTTTGTGAACAAAAGGAAGGCCAACAACCCTCTATAATGAACGCTGAGAACATGGTAAAACAATTGAAGGCCACATGTGTATTTGTTCTCCTGTAATGTTCTGTTTAGAGACGAGAAAAGAGGCGCCATAAAGACGTTATCCAACAAAAAACAAAAAAAAAACAAGCAAAATATAAATTGAAACACGAGGAAGGTCTACTCGTAATATTCCTTGGCCGGCGAGTTGCCTGTGCTGGAGTTGACTAAAAACGCCTCGTCACCGACCCTAACCCACGACTCGTTAAAGGACCCGTCGAAGCACAGTTGCGTGTTCCATTCGTTGCTGCAGTCTGACCAGGGTAACACCGATGTGAAAGAAGCGAACAGGTAGTAGATAGACCAGGCTATGATGACATTGTAGTAAAAAGCAACATACCAGGCTATGAGAACCACGGCCCAGCCAAGACCTGCAGAGCAAGAATAAAGCAACATAAATTGAAACAAGGTTATTATTTCTTTTTAAAGTCGATTGTTAGAACTAATATTGGTTCCCACCATTTAATAATCGAACAATGCTGATATGAGTGTGGCCAACCGTCATTTCATTCTTGTTTATTTGATCAATCATTATTCAATTGACACATCTCTGAAAGAAAAGTCTCTTAATTCGTCTGTAATCAGATGAATATCGTGAGGAACAGAATAATACCTGTAAAGCAGCATTAATTTCTCGTCCAGCTGGTACCACAGATACGGGGAAAATGTAAGCAATTAATTTTGCTACCCTGGACCCCAGTGCTACACAGATGCACATTTTCGCCATAGATGGGATAAGAAAGCTCATACAGAGCCATGCAGATCAACCGACGCCGTTAGCAGAACTATAAAAACATCCATAAGGTTTTGCATAAAAAATATGTGAATAACATATTCGTTTCACGCTTGATTCAGTTTAATTCTAAACCTATAGCCTTGCACTGCAAAAAGAATGAGGTGTGAAATTGGTGTTACTTTAACACCCTGGGTGTTATCAAAGGACAACACCCAGTCTCTCTATCCTCTGATAAAACACAGGGTGTGAAAGTTAACCCAACAGTTTTTACAGTGCAAAGACCCTATACATTTTATTCTGGGGCCCACGTAACCCCCCCCCAATATTGTTTTGATTCTTTCGCCATATAATTCTATTTTCTACCATCGAGCATAACTTCACAGTACCTTGGGAAAGTGGACATATGCTCCAAACATTGATTGCCCCTTGTCGAAAGTACTGTCCCAAAGCTAGCTCCATGTACAGCATGGGAAGGCCGCCGAAGATCAAGAAGATCACGTAAGGAATTAAAAATGCACCTGAAATAGAAAGAAGGTATTAAACAAATGATTCAGGCATATTTTGATCATAGTTGCAGGGGACGGGAACTATGAACCCTGGTAAATAATGGGGAAACGGGACCCTTTAAAAGAAACTTTATTATGAGCTCCGAGCAAATACAAATAATGGTCCACACAGCAAATTTTAGAAGCAGATTCATCCACATAGATTATCTTTTCAAGTCGACCTACCAGAATTAGGAAGTTGGATTGACTACATAATTTTTCTTGCCAAGTCGTCTTTCCACAATTGTAAAGTCGACTTGACAACATAACTTATCTCGAAGAGTTGACATCGCGAAATTCCAAAAGCCTACTTGATGACATAAGTTATCTCGCCAAGTCGTCTCACCAAATAAGTGAGTCGACTTAACTACATAATGAATCTCGCCAAGTCGACATATTCCTAAAGTAGACTCGATGTCATGAAATTTCTCGCTAAGTCGACTTACTGGAATTAGGAAGTCGACTTGGCTACATCATTTATCTCGTTAAATACGGTAAATACGCTTTACAAGCCGACTTAATAAGAAAAATTATCTCGGTTGGTTTGAAACTTATATATGGGCGAGTTTTCGTGTCCGCATACCAACGACGTATCCCTGATCGTGATCCAGGTCCGTGTGAAACAAACACTGCCAGTAGCTATTATACTTGACAGTTCTGGGGCAACATTACCCATTATACATTACATGAGCAGTTATCCACAGCAGATTAACGTAATGATAAAACTGACTAAAATGTTTTCAAAATAAGACTTAATGCATGATGGGAAGAGCGGCCATAGTCAGTGGTCTCCTGTGGTGTTCCTGGTGCTGTTTCCTATTCAGACAGTATGAGGCAAAGTTTATGGTTTTTTGACGTCTGAAGAGGTTTACAGTCGTCTCCTCCCAGTTCCGGTCGTTCTGTTTACGCAACCATTAATTTTCCAGAAATACACAAACATTCGAATGCCCAAAAGAAGTGGCCAGGCTTCCGTGCCGTTTGAATAAAAGATTATCATGTGGAACAAGTCTTCAATGACCGGTTGACCGGACGTGTGCGGACCCTCGAAATGTTTCTGGCAAGGTCTTTGTTAGTTGGGCCTTGGGTCGAGTAAATCGGACAATTTGGACAAGAGATTACGGGGATCAGAAAGATGGTGCCAACCGCCTGAGTGGTCTCCTCTTTCTTGGGAAAGTTTTCAGGCTTTCCAGGCGTGACGTCAAACGCATAAATTAGGCCTCACGAAAATAGCCCCTTGGAACCGTTCGGTTTTCATAAAGATGATGGACCGCCGTTAATTTGGAGAGAATAAAAGCGTTTTGTGTGTGGGTGTGTGGACCGGGGAGTGATCGATGCGTGTAAATCGTGCTCTTATCATGCGTAAGGTACGGTATTGCACTCGGGCAGAAAATAAAAAGCAAAACAGAAAAAAACAAAACAAACAATAATAAAAATAGCAAAAAACCAAGCACAATCAAAGCAAGTTTGAACACTCATCGCGATGCTTTTCGTTCGCTTTGTAGGCGGACAAACATAATTATTGTCGATTCGTTTTGAGTGCAAGGGCACATGTCACATCTTACAGCAAGTATACATGTACACGGTTTGTCAAATGTATCCTTATTACCACAGTAATCGCATCTCATCAGTGCTTGACTTCTGAACTGGCATAGAAATAACTCAGGATAATTGTGTACTTTGTATCCCCAAATGTTACTGAAAAGTTCTTTGAACCTTTCCCACCTCAGATGGGTTCCCTGCAAACGTAAATGCATAGACCAAGGCAATCATACCTCTGAACACAAAATACATCTGTGTTATTCTACCGTTTATGTCTGCTGCTCATTTATCTCTCGAGGTCGCGCAGGTCGCTCATACAAGTAATTCCTTCAGTTTGGTGCTTGCCTTGCATTGCTACAAAAATCCTTGGCATTCTTTCACTGACTGCCGTGGTAAGACCTTCTCGTAAAATGTAGGACTGTATTGGTCGCGAAAAATTTCTAAGTACAAGGACAATCGCCCACGGAAGTTGACCCACAGTCGTAATTATTCCAGGTTAATGTAAAAAAAAAATCATAATCACACACTCAAAAAAACATAAACAACTCATTGAAGAAGTTATACTTGTTGAATTTGGGAATCGTGGCTTCTTAAAGCGAAAACAATTCTAGAGAGAATTGACAGGTGCTTTCTTGAACTCTGTCAAATAGGGCAAAAGTCCCACGCTTACACAAAGAGTTCAGTTCCACATTTAGCGAAACTATAATTATCCTCCAGGTGACCAATGGTTACTGTGAGGACAATGAGTAAGGGTAATATTTGGGGTACCATAGTCCTTATTTTTCGACCCTATACCCACAAAGAAAGAAAATATATATAAAATTTTCCCACTATCTCCGCCCCCTTCGCTACCCCCTAGCTCGCCCGAAAAAATGCTCTCTCGCTGGCCCACTGCCCCGATGAAACACATTATAATGACGGTACTGCAGTACTTCCAAAGGACCCCACGACAAAAGATAAAAAAGAAGACCATTCTTCTGTAAAACTCCAAAGGGTTTACAGACCACAAGTGTATGCGTTGTGGAAAGAAAATAAACAAGTTTAGAAAAGTCAGAGATTACTATCACGTGACTGGAAAACTGACAGGTGCGGTACACGCTTTTTTAATCTTCACTGAGAGTAATAACTCAAGGCAGGTGCTAAAAAGGCAATAGACGCATCAAAAAGATTTAAAAACGAAAGAATCAGCAGTTTGATTTTTTCAATAAGAAACGACAGGGGGGAAGTCGTTAATAATAAATGCGCTGAAGTTTTGGTTGAGTTAGAAATTGAAATAGTTTCTTAAAAGCTTTTTTAAAGTTTATAATAAAAACAAGAAACAAGAACGAGCGAAGCGACTTTTAAGATCTACTGAGAATCACCAACTGCATCTGTGGGTATTTACCTTTCTCTACTAAGAAGAAACGACAAGAAACAATAAAAAAAAATTTACAGACTCAAAAAAGAAGACATCAAATCCCAGATCTTGAGAGAGCGGGGAAAAAGAGAAACGACGTATCAAAAAAAATAAGAGGTTGTTGACCGGAATAAATTATGGAGATTACGGAGTGGAAACGCTGGATGTTGTAAGTAGAGCCGTGGGATTCCCGCAATTTGGGGGTCTCTTTCTGTTCCCGAGGGGGTGGTTTTAGGAGGGGACTTGCTTGGGAGCTTTTGGAGTGTTATTTCTGTCCTGATTTCTGGCTTTTTCGCAATTTTGCGAAAAGACATTCTTTTTCTTCTTTTTTCTTCTTCTTCTTCCACTTCTTCTTTTTCTTCTTATGACCCAAATCCCCTTTGTTTTTTGTTGGACGTTTTATCTACTTCAGATCTTCATCAAACTTAAGTCAATAATCAACCCTTAGGCATAGATGGACCGAGAAGAATGACGTCACGATGACGTCACCAAGTGATTTATTATTGATTTTTCACTATTTATTTCAGCCCATTGACTTTGTACACGTTTTCCAGGCAACCTTTTGGTTGCTCAGCAGTATGCAAATGTCATCAAAGTTACACCATGGAACGACTTTGAAGCAAAGATAATACTATTGTAATTACGTCATGATGACGTCATCAAGTGATTAATTATTACATTCCAAATACGTTACGTTAACGTTTTAAAATCCAAGTAAAATCAACCCTGAATTCTGTTTGCAGCAAGTGGCAGAGTATAATTTGGTTTTCATCTCGTGCGAGTAAAATCACGTGACCCTTCTTTCCGGTCGAAACCGGAAGTGGGTTTATTGTTTAAAAAAGGCAGTACAAATTCTTAGCAATAGACCATTCCTGTATTCCTGATAGCCAACCGATAATAAATGTATCGACACCTATAGGAATAGGTGTACTGTCCTGAATGTGAACAATATTTTTTTTCAAAACCTCAAAGATGCGCAAAAGCCCTGTGTTCTTTCCATGAGACTGACACACAACCTCTAGTTTCTTTTCCTTTCCATTGCTGCAAAGTACCAGCCCTTTTCTCTCTAACGACCTTGTGAGTGGGGCCAACGCCTCAGTAACTCGCGACACAAGAGAGCAGAACGAGAATGGTGGTCTTGCTAGTGTTTGATTTTTCGCATGGGTGATAGTCAATTAAAAAGTACAAAACCTTGCTGGTACCGCGTGACGCACTGCAGTACCACTCATTATCATTTGTTTCAGCGGGGTGGTGGGGCCAGCGCGAGAGCAAAGTTGTTTCGGGTGAGAGGGAAGCGAGGAATGCAGAGATAGCGAGGGGGCAGCGAGACAAGTATAGATATTTTTAGATATTTTCTCTTGTATAGGTAAAGGGAGAAAAGATGCACCCCGATATTACTCCTAATCAATGTCATGTGCATAGGTCTATCCAGCATGTGGGGAAGGGGTGGGGGAAAGTTGTACCCCTGATACTACTGATAAAGTACTGATACTTTCGAAACGGTACTTTCACTTTTGGGGGAAGGGTGGGTGAAGATTCTTTTACTGATGAAACAAAAAATGGACCATCGTTTGTAAAAAAAAAAAAAAAAAAAAAAAAAAAAACCTTTGCCCCCCACTCCACCCCAAAGCGTGGATACGCAAGTGATCGTGTTAGGTTTCAGTTCAACTTTTTTCCCCCAAAAACAATACTCCCACAAAGTGACGTCTACCTTGATATGTAAGAGCATTTGGCAATCGATCAGTGTCGTTGTGGCCTGCATATAGGCCTATACACAGTAAAAACAACGTTTAGAGTTTAGACACTTTTTGTACCCACTTTTTCCTCACGTTTGGAAATGTGTTTAAACTCTGACGGCGGTGCGTCATTCCACATGTACGCAGCTCGAACTCAGAATTTCAGTATCTGCGGCTTCATTAATTAAAAGAGTCTTTAGATAGAGTACCTGGCAACACAGCTACAATAGGCCTGCCATAGTTATCGGTGGTTTTCTTACACACAGGTGGAAAGGAAAGATCGTGGCTTGTGTGATTTTAATAAAGACTGACAAAATTGTCTTCACTGTATGTTCAGCCTTAAAGGCATCCAGGCTGCGATACACAGTATGCATACTTTAGACCTTTAGACTTGTTTACTTCCACATAAATGACAGAAATGTTTACTTTTCCGATTGTAAAAACTTGTACAGCTTCGTCATGAGTGCGTCGGCTATTTAACCTGTAAACTTACCTCCACCATTGCGATAAGCCAGATAGGGGAAGCGCCACACGTTAGCTAAGTCTACGGCAAAACCGATGACTGAGAGCAAGAAGTCGATCTTGCCTCCCCACGTCTCTCGGTCGTCCCCCGTACCACCGTCGTCAATCACGCCTAGCTCGTCGCCGTCTGGTTCCAGCATGATGTCGTGCTGGCTGGCCTTCACCTTCATCTCCATCGTGGCAGTGCTCGCGCCGTCTGCGGCTTTGAGCGCACTGCCGGGATGCTCGGCGTTCAGGGCTGTGGCCGGCTCTCGGCTGGATCCCGCGTGACCACCGTTGGCCGCCTTGTCGGCGCCCAGATTCACAAGTCCCGCCTCGTCATCCTCTGGAGCGCCCGCACTCTGCCGGCGGGTGCTGTGCGCGTGCCTCGCTGGTCCACTGCGGGCTCCGGTTCTCGGCTCGACCAGCCGGTCAGGTGCCGTGTCCTTATCTGAATTCGCGTCACTGCAGCCCAAGGTTTGACCCTCTGGTTTCAAGGATTTGCCTGCGCTCATGTTCATTAGATGGAACCACCTTCACCTCACTTGAGTGTTCCGGCTGCACTGAGCAAATACAAAAGGGAATTTGGGATCATTGTGGGAAATGCCTATTGCATTATAGCTATAGGCACTTTAAAGAAAACATACGACACAATTTCCCGTCGCCCCCCCCCCCGTGCTCCCCACTGGGGGAAAAACAGATGAATGGTTATTGAACAAGGCTAACAAAAACCACACCACTGAAAGCTGGTGCCCCCATGAGATGCTGGTGCCCCCATGAGACGCTGGTGCCCCCATGAGACGCTGGTGCCCCCATGAGACGCTGGTGCCCCCATGAGACGCTGGTGCCCCCATGAGACGCTCGTGCCCTCTTTGTGCCCCCCCCCCCTTAGTAAAATTCCAGCTTCGCCACTGCATCATAATCCAGATCCCCTTCATTTCTTATATTGTCGTTTTTCCTAGGAAGGAATCTGTTAGGTCAAATCAATTATCTTATTTTATATCTACTTCGAGCTTTTTCTATTTGATACTGGTCCATCTTGCTCAGGCAGATACGATGAATGTTTTTCCCGTTATTTTATGTTATTTCTTCCATACCCCTCCCGCAAGTTCCCTTTTAATAATCACTTTGTTCAGGTGGCATTGGCACGTAATTTCTGTATTCCCCACTCCATTTGTTTCTGAGTAATCTGGACTCACGTTTCAACCTGCACAGCTCGAAGGGCTTGAATCGCTGTGAGTCTGAGTGGCAACACGGAGGTGAAATGTCTGGGAACAACCCGGGGCTGCGCATATATTTTTTTACTGAGGGGTATTAAAACAATCATTTTCGATGACTTTGAACACCTCCGCACTACCTCAGCGTCACTAAGTGGCAGTTTTGTATATGACACAACTTTTGTCCTTCGACAACTCAAGTAGGACCCAGTCTGAAAATCCATGAGTGTCTTTTCTTTGCACGTGATGCTGACCAACAAAATGTGGGAAATCTTATTTTTACAACAAACACCCAGACACCTTTCAGCTATAGTACAACATGCACACAGTCCTGCGTGGCAATGGTATTGGATTGCCAGCTGAGTTTGCACCTTACACTTCACAAAATCGAAGTGCAAGTTCATAACTGGCCAAACAGCGCGGGAGCGATTTCTTACAAGCATTGTAAAGGAAAGGCCTAACCTCTCGTGAACATCGGAACAGCAGCGGAGATGGGTCGGAAGGAGTGGGGGCGTGCGGGGGAGGAACGCCCACAGTAGTCACAACAATCGACGATCACGATAGGCCTACATCGATTTCAGAGAAGGGTCACGAAAGTGTGTCGGGTGAATGCTCACTCGCCCGGCAATTCGGTGGAAATGTAGGGTTTGCGTGACATTAATTGCTTGGAAACACCTTTGTGTAACGCTCTACTCCGCTCAAATGCGTAAACACTATTTGAGGCCCCGCATTTGACAATGTAATTTTGTAACATTCTAATAAAGCTCTTCTTGACATAATCAAGAGGGCGCTATTCTTGTGATGGCATTGAAGGGCGTTACTGGTCATTATATGTTCCAGTTTCCATTTACATTGGAAACTCAACATGTTCTGGGTAAAAACATTTTTGCGGACCATAGACTAAGACTTGAATCTTGACTTGAAGCTCGACGCACATCATTACGGATCCGCGCGAGCAACCACGTTACACCTCATACGGTTCCGTTTTATATTCAGCAACGTGAAAGTCAGTTATAATATTATCCAGTCAAACATTTTGGTTACAATAAAACATGATAACCGTCTGTTTTTATGGAGACTGTCATTTTTAATTATGCATTTTCAATTATGCAACTTAGCTAGACTGCACGGTTGACATAAGGAGCGAATTCCAATACTCGACTTCGGCTTCATTTTTATTACTACCGGACTTTGAGGTTGTAAGCGCAATAGTAAGTCTGATAGTGCCACAAAACACCAAGTAAGATACAAAATAGCCAAACATTACAATATTTCAATATAAGTTTAACGCTTCAGGCCAACAATCGGAGATTGGTTTCGTAGACGAAGCCTGAGACGGAGACAAAGTTGAGTATTGGAAAACGGCCTAGGTATCGAGTCCTGCGGAGTGCCTTTTTTTTATAACACAACATGATTTGGAAATCCGACTTGAACAAAGGCTGTAATGCTGGGTTCTCGATTTTTCTTAAGTCCAACATTTCAGCAGGGGAAGCTTCCACGAGGCGTGAAGACTAGCCTCCTTCCAGGCCGGCCATAAAACCAATTTTCCCCAGAAGGTGCACGTTTTATCCCCAACTTTTCTGGATTACAAGATATTGCTCCCGGGAGATCAAGGCGTTGAACGCACACCATTTTCGTTCACGTTATATAGATCCGGTGGAATCGGTCGCGAAAACATCCAGTGTAAAATCTGATTTCATCCAGTCTGTACCCTCGATGGCCCAGCAGACCGTCAACCGGTCGAATTGGAAAGTGTGAAACCCAGGGTTTTACTGTTATAAACATTAAGCAGTCATGGTCAAACCAAGCAAAATTGATCAATTGAGTTGATCTATTGGGCTTAAATTTATTGTGGTCTCACACGGCGCGTAATGTTACAGGCTCCCGTTCACCGTTGGACAAAAGACGCTCTCGTTTTCACGTAGTTTGGTTAGGTAAAGGTCACAACATTTTGTGTGTGAGGGTCAATGTAAACCAGTGATTCAAAAGAATCGTTTGTTGTCAGTGCGATTTCTTTTCGTCACTAAACTTATAAAGCGGTTTATTTTGGTAAATTTTGCTGTGAGAAACGCACCCAATACGTCTGATATTTTTATCTGAAAATTCGAAGAGGAGGCCTATAGCCTACTGTCCCTCATTGCCTATGTGGAGCCTATACCGCCGGTAGTAGAACGGGAAAGAGATTTCAAATCAATCTGCCATCCCTCAGTCTGACATGCAGCCTGTCTGCCGTTTTTGTCCATGTTGTGATGTTCAGAGCAACTATACAAGTGCACTGTATTGGGTCAACGCAAACACTATGCAGGTACTGTCAAAAGGCACTTTCATTCATTGCTGTAATATGGATTTACGTAGCAGTATACTAAGGAACAATGCAAATCGACATCGTGCAACATTAGTTTGCAGACGTTCCATGCAGGCCCCTACTTTAAAGGAATTTGAATAATATAAATAAGCATAAAAACACTATAGGTCTAGTAAACCGAGTATGGCTTCATGAAGACACTCCTACCTGACTGTAGGGCCGGCAGTCCCGTCACCCAGGAAGAATTATTGGTCACAATGAAGGGAAAAACCCTCCAAGTCTGGCGACCAAGGTTATTCAACGGCCGGTTTGGACAAGTTGTGCTGTCGTGAAATCAAAGAAAGTTCACTGCATCAACTGTGTATACGCACGGCGCCTACTTCAATGGCGCCACTTGAATGACTACACAAATATCAGTCCATAACCCCCTGTGCTTACATTTGTACTTAGCGGTCCCAACTTTTGTTGACCTATTTTGAGCGTTCCATTTACAAAGGAAAGGGGAGCCACTTCTTTTCAAGGTTTAGGTTGCTATGGAAAAAAAGTAGGCCACAAACACCTGAAGAAAAGAAAGAAACGGCACCTCGGCGATTCAGTTGGGTTCGGCTAGTCCGGAACATGTTTAGTAACATCATTTTTCAAAGATATTTTGCAAACATTTATGTTCTCAAGTCACTTTTGAAAGGTTTGCTGATAAGTGATGGGAATCAGTGCCGTTGTAACCGAACTTTACCAGTAATCCTTTTTGAACATTTACATAAAGATCTCTCCTAAACATATTCAGCGATCACCTTGTTGATTTGATTTGATGATGGCTCCGTTATTTGACTGACACAGAGCAAACGCCTCTTCCAGAGACTAAACCAAATGTGGCACACAATGTCTACCCCTGCAGCAACGTGGCTTCGACTTGTCAGGCAATTAGTTGCGATAACAAAAGTTACTTATGTAGGTTCTATCTAGCTAATGATCATGATCGTCACGGATACGGGCCGTCCATAAAGTACCGAGCATTGCCATGGTGTACAGTGGACTGTTTTTTTTTAACGACAGTTTCCAGGGGTGTGTCTGCGATTTTCCAAGGGAGGGGGGTGAAAAAAACATTTTAGGGTTGCGGCCGTAAAATTAGGGAGGTTGGGTAACCGGAAGCAAAACTGTTGTTTTTTACGCCTTTGTCACAATGTATGGGGCCTCTTTTCTCTCCCTCCCTCCTCGTTTTCTTCCCTTCTTATTTATTTACATGTATTTGCGAAAAGGGGGTCGTGCGCCCCCATGTCCCCTGGATTTGTCCCTGGTTTCTAGAGCAGGAAGGTTCCCTCGCTTCGATCTGAATGTCTAACCCAGTAGACCCTAATGGCAATAGTCACATTAGAGTATTTGCCTGACGAATCCCTCCGATGCTAGAACAAGATGGGCCCCATGGTGTACTATTTACGACACACATTTCTGCCTCTCTCTAAGTCTCTTCCAAGGAGAGGCAACTTCTCGACACGACGGCCCGACGGCTCCCTCGCGTCGTGTCGTTGCGTCGCTTAGAGGGAGGCAGAAATGCGTGTCGTAACCAGTACACCATACGACCCAGATAACCTTGTCTATTCCAAGGGAACAAGTGCCGTGCACAACAACGCATCCAATGTATCTGTGAATCAGAATTGTTTGTGTTCTTATTGATCCAATGAGCCACAGAAGCTCCATTTACAAGTAAATTGGAGGTTGATCAAGGGAGGACTCTGAACCATATTTTTAAAATCAACATTCGTCAATATTTATTCATATAAGAAATTTATATAAATGAAAAGGAATACTTTTTTTTACAAAAATGTTATTGATAAACTAGGAGCAAGTGAAACTTACATCCACGTGGTTCAATGAAAAGTGTCTGCATTTGCTTTCTAACCACTCTTCATCGCCATTTTACTTCGGTCTTGAGTTTTTACAAACATCTGAAGACAACTTAAATGTGTCTTACTTTGGACTTAAAATAGTTGGAAGAGGTTTTTACAACCCCAAAACAGCAGAAACAGACAAGTTGGGAACAGCATGTTTGCACGCTATTTTGCACACTTTGAGTCATCGTGGCAAGGGAGGGAGTCCGCGGCAGTACCTGTGCATTTTGCAGAGCGTTAGGTTTAACTTTTTCCTTTTTTCTCATCGTCAATCTGCTAGGATCAGCTTTCTAACCATGTTTACACATAGAAAAGAAGTGTAAAAGCAGTGTTTTCACCCCTCCATTAGTCTGGTAGTATGCCCCACACCCGAGGGTGGGAAGTGTATAAAACGTCGGTATTTTATGAGTACGTATAGAGGGCCCCTTATTACGGTGGGTTATTGTCGCACCCTGGTGGACTATCTTGTGCAACTTTCTCTACGTTCGTCCCCACCGCCTGCTGAGGACGCTCACTGAAGAAGGCTACTACTGTTGTTAAATGCATGGTAGTTCTGTTGAGCACGCACTAGGAGTTCATTTACAAAGAGTGAACGCGAGACATCACTCCGCGAGTGCGTGAAACATGCGTACAAAGTTCGAGTCATCAAGCGTCTGTAGCTGTGGCATGTTCCCTTCGAATTTTTTTTTGTGTGTGAATGCCAGTTGCCCTTTTTCCAGCACCCTGTGAGGGCCAAGGGAGGACAAAAAAAATTCGAGAGGGGGGATTTGGAAACTATTTCAACCCTGGCATTTCTGAAATTTTCTGTTGGGGAGGGGCATGGCCCAGGCTGCTGCCCCCTTCCGTCCTTGATACGGGCGGCTTGGACGAGTAGGTCTACGAGAGAAAACATTCTCCAACTGTTGAAAATGTTGCTGTTGAAAATAACTGCTTCTAAGGCTTGAAGATGAAGCAATAGCTCAAAGCGACATAACTTTGATATCTCGCACGGAATACAAGCCCGAACGAATTAGGAAGTCGTATGCATTTTCCAGTCCCCCCCTCCTTTCCAGACTGCACCTCTTCCCCTCCAGACTGTACAATATCCTGGTCAATACCATAATAGTCATCTAAACCGCGAAAAGACCGAATAACACACCAATTTTTTTTTATCATGTTTGTATTGTTCGTAAGGAAAATAAGTGATGAATGAACGGTTTTAAATGCCCCAAATTTACTCTAGTCTGGTTCCCTTCCCCAAAAGACCTCCATTGGTACGAAGTTGCTAATATCAAGGAACTGTCACGTCAGGAAATGGGACTACGTCTGGCCATGCCCATTCACTGAAAGTGAATCGTAAACTTATGTACATATTTGTCCTTCATTTAAGTTTAACCAGTTTAAATAATGTAAACAGGATCTCACTTAAAACTTTGTGGATTCATGAGTTTAATGAAAATCAGCGCTGTTCAATTGAAGTGTATCTTCATTTGTCTACATTCTCTTGTTAATTCAAAGAGACCATCCCTATTTTGAAGTTGACGAATCCACCACACGTGACTGCGCTCGCGGCAATTTGTTTTTTATCTAGTTCCTTAGTTGATGTGCCTGCAAGAGCAAAGATTTCCATTAATTTTTCGTCTGTAAGTCCCATTTTTTAGTCTCACAGATTGATTTGAAATGGCACAAGTAAAGGTGACCAGTTATTACACTCGTCGGAAACGAATTGACGATTCCCAACCACCCAAAAGACGGAAACTTCAGCTCAGTACATCCTGCCAAGAGACGGACAAGACAGATTCGGGACTCGAACAATCCGACGTGAAGTTACACTTGAAAGCAGGCCTAGATGCCTTCACCAAACAGGTACTTCCGCAAGTTGATCGAGCAGTATTGCTAGAAGATACAGTTTTGCAGTGTTCGAAGGGCATTGCTTCCACGGGGCGGCCCAAATCTGCCAGAAAATCCCGTGCAAGTGCGACAAGAAACTCAAAGAAGAAGGGACCCTTAGACAAACATTTAGCATGTTTAGAGAGGGTTACTTGCAGTCCACAACCCTCAACTGAGGTAAAAACTGACTTCAGCGTCAGCGGTTCGATTCAAATTGCAGAATTTGTTAAACATCACTCTCCCCCGTCAACACCAACAAAGCGGTCTCAGCAGATTCTCGAAGCACCCAGCAGAAAGAAGAGATGTAGAATTGGAAGCACCGATGTCACTATGGTAACAGACGACTCTCTGGGCCAGATGACCAGCACGACTGAATCGTCCAGAGTATCCCGTAGAAAAGTCCGTGCAGCCGGACGACAGGTATCAAAAAGGACGAATGAAGGAAGATCAGCCAAGAAAAGACTGGAGGCATCATTGCAACAGTTTGCAAAATTTGAGGAATCAGATACCATCACCAGACCTTCAAAAGACATAGTGAGAATTTCCTTTAATTTTTTTCTAACATTAAAAAGTTTGATATTTTTACAATGGTGGTACCATATTTAACAAGTTCACCGTCCTCAAATAAAATGAATTGATGTTGTACGAACACTGCAGCTCAACAGTTTTTGGATGTTTTTTCTGCAGCAAAAGAAAATGGGTCATCAGTGTGTCTGTCTGGAGTATTACCATATTTGGATGGTCTATTCCATATTTGGCTTGTTCCACCAACCTGCAATGGAGTATATGGGTGTTTCCATGTGACAGGGTGCTTTGCTTAAACATTACAGCAAATTGAACAAAAACACAAATGAAATATTTCAATTTGCAAAAATTTGATTGGCTGTGCAAAAAACCCTGACTACAGACATAAAGTCATGAAAATAGAAGTTCTAATATGCTTGACACTTGACACCTCGTGAACAAAACCTATGAGACGGGTCTGAAAAATTCTCAGTGTTTTCTTAGGAAATACTTTAATATTTTCACTGCCAAATGAAAAGATCTGAAAGCAAACAACATGTCTGAAGTCCTGCAGTGACCTTTTTAATAAATCATCACTGATATCCCTACATGGAACGCTTTCCAAACTGAATTTGTTGAAGGAAAAGCCATTTTAGGTCATATTTTTAAACTACCCCTAGAACTACCCCTACTGTCTTGGGTTCCTCACTCTCCCTTTCTTAGCTTGGAACTGTTCTGCAGTTTACATACATTTCTTGAGTTTGCATTTGCAAATAAACTTTGAATTTTTCGGGCTCATTTTTGTACCCTTAGACAAACATTTAGCATGTTTAGAGAAGGTTACTTGCAGTCCACAACCCTCAACGGAGGTAAAAACTGACTTCAGCGTCAGCGGTTCGATTCAAATTGCAGAATTTGTTAAACAACACTCTCCCCCGTCAACACCAACAAAGCGGTCTCAGCGGATATTTCTTGAGTTTGCATTTGCAAATAAACTTTGAATTTTTCGGGCTCATTTTTGTACCAGTTTTCAACCAAAGAGGGCGTAGCTTCACCCCATCTCTGCTACAAGGACAATTCAAATGGAATCACTGCCATCCAGTGCGAGTCACATCAAACAAGTGCTACATTTACCAAGACGACACCTGCTAAACCAGAGGTGACCACATGCTCAGCGGGCCCAAGCCAGGCCGCCAACCCACAAGACGGGATGCTGCAGGCATTTATTGAGAGGACAAGTCGGTCTGTGGCATCTGCCGATGTCAAGGGGTCAAAGGTTAATGAAAGGTTGAGAGATCGGATACACGAAGCAGTTGAGGATGTTGGGAGCAGCCCCTTAAACACAGCTGTGGAAGGCGGCAGAAGTAATTTTGACGGAAAACAAAAGGTACATGGAAACCTGAAGTTTCACAGGTGATAGATTACTCTTCAAAATTTCAATTTAAAACAAGAATTTCTATAAATCACTGACAATCATTTTCAGTTGGGACAAGGACAAATGTGAGTGCAGATACATGTGTTGAAACATTTCATTCAGAGCTATGCATGTATGTATAATATAGCAAAACAAACAAAAGGTCTCAGATTACAAGATGAACAGGTTCAAACTTCACAGATTAGGCCAAAATAACAAGATTGTTTACAGTTCAATCAGTACGTGGTTGGAATTTTAACCCTCTTGGATCACTGTAGTGGATTTTCGTTTGTTTTTTGCCAGTGTTGGATTGTTTAGCACAATAAATGAGAAAATATAAAAAGTGGGGTTTTCTGTCTGCCAAAAATTCACGATTATTTGGCTGTGATAAAAATCCTACCTGATGAAAAACCAATCTGGCTACACCGAGCACAAAATACAGCAAGATTATTTAGCCATTCATGAACGTGCTTAATTTTCCCTGCCGTATGTCCCAATTATTTCCCATTTTTTCAGTAAAACAAGTTTTTCCCTGTGACAGTTTTGGATTCAGATGGATGTACTGGAAAGAATTACATATACTGATGCTACATGTACTTGACACCCTGTGCAAAAACTTCATGAGACTAGTCTGACAATTCTGAGAGATAATTCTAAGTGAATATCTCTGTATTTCTCTGCTACTTTTGACTTTTTAGCACACTGGACATTTTATTGCTTTCAGTTCGCCATGTGTAATAGGACACTTAAGGGAAAAAAATCAGCGGCCTTTGTGTATGAAATTCCTTCCAATTTATGTTGCCTACATGTACTTTCAAATAGTTTCCAGTAACCTGTATCTTCCATATTCTCTCTTATCCTGTTTTCCAAAATCTTTTTACTTGTCTCAACATTCCTCCTCCAGCCATTTCACTGCTAGTCTCAGATCTGATTTGGTCAATTATGCCCTGAATGGCAGATACTGCCAAGATATGGTGTACTTTCCACTTGCTGCCGGGTGCTTTTAAATTGCAGTGAACAAGATTTTCCTTTTTTCAAAATTCATCAAAAATTCATCATTTCATTTAATGGCCATTCACAAATGTACACCCACATGAATGACTGCTTGGTGGCTACTCTAAGCTTTCAGGCACCTTCACTGACTACTGAGTAATTCAGCCAGGCCTGCCTCCCTGTGTAGAGAGCCTAGAATTGTGAGGTGTTGCGTAATTTCCTTTGTCCCCAGTGAATGCGAGTGGCGTCTTTTCAAACATGGCTGGATTAGCATGCAGCGGTGCTGTGTCGCTCATCAATATGGCCCTGGAGCACTTTTGTCCGTGGTGCTAATCCGTTGGCGCACTATGCCCCAAACAGTGGTGTACTGTTTAAAAACAGTGACGGATTACCTTCGAAAAATGCAAACCAAAAAATGATCGCAATTCCCCTCAGCAGGTCTTGTGTTCCAAGTATTGTCTTTTGTTACACGGACCAGCTCTTTTGTCCGATTTCAGGCAACCCGGCTCTGCGTATAAACCCATGGTGCTCGAAACGGGGTTCCCCGGCAGCAAGTGGTGAAGTATGCATGAATTTTTAAACTGAATGGGACATATATGGGTGATTCATCTTCTCAGACTAAGTTGACGCCAGCCGCGATGAAGGAGCGTCTGTCACAATCCTGCAAGCTGAGCGACCTGCAAGCCAGACTAGCCCAAGTGAAGCAGTGTGCTGACCGGGCCAAGAACATCCCAAAGCCTGCTCCGTCAGTCAACAGTGACGTCACTGCTGGAACCAGTAAACCTGCAGCAGGCAAAATTAGGATGTAAGAGAGAAGTCTTCATTCTCCATCATGTCCTTGTGGTTTTTTACAGATTTTTATTGTTAAAACAATTTCAACATGTTCAAACCACGCGTAAGTTGATGGTAGATTGGTTAATGATTTTGAAAAAAGGTTGATGATTTTGAAAAAGTTCTAACTGTGAAATTTTCATGTACATGTGTAGGGTTATTACTGAATACTCTTAACCATGTTAACCCATTTATATTTGAGTCAATTCCTTCACAAGTTCTTCCACAAGCCCAGTCACAGGAACAAGGTGAACAGTGACAAAAGAATGCTTGTGGAAGCCTTTGGCTTGACTTCCAACTAGATCCTTCCAGATTTAACTGTCCCGTGTCCAAACTTTGTGAAGATTGGTAATACCAGCATCACTGTTTATCCGTTAAAAATGAAACGTTGGAACCTTCTGAGCAGGCTTTTATTTCTCTGTTCATGCAGGGAGGAGCCAGCAGTGCCCGCCTACCAGAAGTACCACGCCCTTGCCAGCTCGGCCCCGCCCACCCTCATTCTGCCCTACAAGTACAAATGTCTGGAGGAGATGTTCCGCAGCACGGACACCGTGGTCAGCATGCTGCACAACCGGTCGGAGACGTGCGCCTTCCCCAAGCTTAAGCAAGCGGTGCAAGAAATGTGCCGAAGGTGGGCGACATGTTGTGCGTGACTTTCTGCAATACTAAATTCTTATACCTTACCAGGCTTCTTTATCCTGCTGTGCACTTGTAGTGGTCTGTTTTTAGTTAGAAAGACTGGTTTTAAAGAGTGAAGGTCCTCTCTTTACCTTTGGAAACGGCGGATCATTTAGCATGAGATTGAACAGTTTTTGTGAGATAAGTTTCAGCAGAAAATATGTCTATTTTCTTGTTTAAATAACCAGGGTTGCCAAATTAGTAACGTACCATCAACTGTTTGCTTCAGATGTTAATTTTGGCCTTAACGTCATGCGTTGGTAGCATATGGAGATTTTTATTGTTACGTCCTAGATTTAAGCAACTTTGCCAACCGGTGGCAGTAATGGGCATGCACCTGCCTTATTTGCATAATGGAAAGGTCCACTAGGCCCAGTACATGTAGTTACATCAGTATTTTGACACAATCTGCCAAGAAGAAAGCTGAGATATACGTAAATGTACATCAACTTTTGACCGGATCGCCTTCAGGGCATTTGAACACCAGCATCTGGGCCAAATCAAGACGGTCTATCCCACCGCGTACTTTCTGAGGCAGGAGAAGGTTGGAAGAACAGGGGTCAACCAAAAGCCTAACTACGAGTTGGTCCTAGAGGCTAATACAGGATCAGGAGTTGGAACATCAGCTGGTAAGTGAAAATGGAAATCATAGCCTCAACATTTTGTGTTTGCTTAAAATGTACCCACTTAAAATAGCGCCCTCATGCTGTGTGAGTCATAGTAATTTCAATTGGCTAATGTTTGTTTTCTGCCAAAATATCAGTTACTTTCTACTGAAATCATTGAATGAGGGATTCAAAATTATATTTTCATGTCTGAATCACTTCAAACAAAAACATTCCATCACTTCAGTGGCAAGAAGCAGTTGTTAAATTTCTGACCTGGGCCCAATGTCGTGGCACTGCTTAGCACACTAATGCTGGTTGTCAAGCTGCTGCATCCAGCTGGGTTCTTGTGTCGGTTGTGCAGTATTTTGTTGTTTGTAGTGGGGATGCCCTGAGAAATCCTCAGTCTTGGTTCCAAGACCTTTGCATTCCCCCTTTCGGCCAGAATGAATTAATTCAAACTACAGAGGGCGTTATATTTATTAAGGCCCTTTTTGGACCTCGAGCGAAGGTCTTGGACATTTTGTTCAGCAGTGTTTATGTTTTTTGGTGTTTTTCGCCCGACTTTCTGGGGGAGCCAATCAACGAAACGTCTGATATGGTTCAGTGAACACGGGATACGTTTCACTTGATCTCCGGGAAAATTGTAAATTTCAAATTCGCTTTCGACTCATCAACCTACCCAAGGGAACTGAATACGTATCATAGACCTCCTCTGTGAAGAGTTTTGATCCTCATTATGCCAGGCGGACGGACAAAAATCTGTGAAACCACATGAGCAAGAGCGCGAAACCGAGCACAAACTCGACCACAAGCACGAGCCTGCACCGCCAACGCTGTCGCCACACTTGACCGATCACAGCTCTGTCCGTACCCCGGAATCATACACTGGCAAACTGCTGACCACTGACGACATTTTCCAGCAGTATGTCAAACATGCCTTGATGGAGATTAGTCGTGGCCAAGACGAACACAATAAGCGGATGATTAAGCTTGAATATGAGTCAACGCGGATTAACAGTCTCGAGGAGAAACGAGCCAAAGAGTTGGAAAAGTTGGTTCCTCTGATCGAAACTGCGCAGAAGAAACTGGCTGATCATAAGGCATCAGCAGCAGTGTCTTGCTACTGTCCAATTCTTCTGTTTGGGCAAAAGTAGTGGCCAATATTTCTTCAAAATAGTGCTGCTGGGTGATTTTCAAGGCTTGATTTTTGTACTACGGTATTCTTGTGCTGTTTTGACAAGGAGTGCCTCATGTGACAACATCAAAATAGCGCCCTCGTGTGCACATTGATTCAAAATTGAAAACTAGCACCTTCTTGTCATTGTATTTGTATTGTTGTAACGCATACCAGTTGAGCTGAACACACTGTATCAACTGCATGTTTCCATCAATATTTTTACCCTTCAGGTCAAGAAAGCAGTGAACCCATAAGGAACATTTCCCATAGCAACGCCGTGTCCAAGCTCATCAGCAAGTTCACGCCTTCCATGCTGATTGCCAGACGCAGCATCTTTCATAACAACTTGGTAGATATTGTCAAGGAGCATCACAAAGTAAGTCAGATGGTCGCAATGGTAACCACTCCAAATTTTTTATCAAATCCAACGCCTTGTTTTTGGGGAGTCATTTTTTACTGTCCAGCACATTCTCTGGAGCAGTACATGGGGCTTTAAGTTCCACTTTCAAATTTTGGGTTGAAGATTCAAGTTTCTGTTTAGTATTGACATATTTACGTAACATCTAACCTAACTCCTTCGGGGAGTTTTGGAGGATTTTGGACGATTGAGGGTGAATCGCTAAAGTGCATGGCTGATTGCGAAGGATGCCATGCATGAAAGTCCTGGGTTAGACCTTGTGTTGGTTTTGCTTAGTCATGCATAAATTCAGCTCGATATATTTCTTTTGAATGAACCGCACTGCTCAAGAATGCCATTCACACTACTTCAACATAATTGAGGAATTGCCGGAGGATTTTGAAGGACTGAGGCAGTAGGCACACCTCCAAGTAACATTTACAAGAAGTTTTGGGGGATTTCGGAGGATTGAGGGAGAATCCAATTTTTTCACCCCCAAAATAACAGAATTTTGGAGGATTCCTAGCAAAAAGGGCCTGGGGTTGAGGGTTAATTAAAATGATATACAGGCCACAACTGCATTTTTATTTAAATCAAAGACTTACGTGTATTTGGATTTTTGACTGAGTTTTCAGTATTTCTAATTCTAAGGTACATGTATCAGCATTTCCAATTTTCAATATCAGTCAATAACGTTATTGCAATATTGATAATGTCAATTGAAATTGATATATAGAATGTTACCAATATTTCAACAGCACCAACAAAGGATTAGTGTTTGGGAACTTCACCAATGGTTACTTGATCATTTGTCCTGTGTTTTTTCTCACTAGACCGCCAAAATAACTACACCCAAAAACCTGAGTGTTGCAAAATTTTCACCTGAGTTTGGGTTCTGTTTGTTGTGGTGCATGTACATGTATTATCAGTCATGACCTACATGTAGTCGACTGCACCATTTCCCGTGCTTTTCATATTTTCCAAGGAATTCTTGTCTAAGTTGGAGCGCCCTCTGTCTGTGCCAAGCGACAAGCTGACCCGGTGGCATCCCAAGTTTCCCTTGGACCAGATACCTGACATTGAGCCAGCCGCCTTGCCCAAACCCCCGCTGGTGGCAACTTACAGTACAGCCAAGGACGTTCTCGACAAGGCTCGCGTGATGATGAACCCTCGGGTAAGTGTCACTTTCTGGAAAAGAGTTGTCTTAATTTTATGCGTGGATTGTGGAAGTAAAATGTGCATGGATTGACTTAGTTTCTCTCTCTAGACCTTGCTGAATTTTGTTGCATTTTCATTTTCGAACATGTTGCGTGGATTGGTGACAAAAACTTAAAAGTTTTATCACCTGTTTTCAGTATGGCCTTTACAATGAATTGGCCTGTAAATATACTGATAACATCATGCTTTAGGAATCTGTGATCCCCATTGGCTCCCATAGAGCACATGTAGAGGAAGTCTGATGTCATCCGTACATCAGCGTACTGTAAAATAATTTTGTATCAGGACTTCATACTTTACATTGGAAAGTATTCGTCCAGGAAAGGTGCCTTTCCATACATGTATGTACATTTTTGGCTGCGTTGCCTACACAATGCATTCATGCGTTTCACTTTGACGGACACAAAAATTGACTCCATTAATGTAACACACATACGTGTTGCGTTCGGCCGTCAAAATCACCCCGGGAGCACTTTTGACGGACACACAACACTTGACGCAAGTGTTGACGCGCTTATGGAGAGGCACCTTAATACTTCTCATTCACTGCTTCAACCCCTTCATTTTGACTGCAACTGCTGGGCTGTGGTATGCCCTAAATGAATGGAGGGCTTTGTCCAGCAGCAGGCCCCATTGAACCAGCAGCTGCATGGTGAATAGACTGTATGCGTGGTATGCACTAATCCTCATGCATCAGTGTGGTAGTAGCAGTCCTCCGTAGTGAAGGGGTTAAATACATGTAAGCTAATATCCTCGGTCGCCATATTTTTTCCCCCGGTTGCCTCTTCTGTTACACGTGTACATTGTGTAGGTCATTTCGGATTTTTCTTCTTGTAGGTTGCCAAGGCTCTTGAGGTTGTAGCTACAAATTCAGCTCTCTTGAAAGCAGAGAAAGACAAACAGACGGCTGAGCAGCAGGCTGTCAACGTCAAGCGGGAACCTGAAGCCAACCAACATATAAAAGCAGTCAGTGGTGTCAGCCAGTCCCTGCTAGACAAGGTATAGGGACTTGCTGTATCTCCCCCTCCACGGTCAAGGAAATTCCTTAAATATCCCAGGGAAAACATTGTCCTACAAAAGTCATAGAAAAGTCATGGAAATCAAAATCATGGAAGGATTATTTTTTATGGGCTGCTACTGATGGAATAGCTGGAATGATTATAAATTCAAAGGCTAAATCTTTGTCAGTCGATTGCAGTGGCTGTGGCAGTAATTCAGTTCATAATGCCAAACAGAAAAGTCCTGGGATTTGGTTTTTCAGATTTCTGTGAGAACCCTGGTAAATTCTCTAAATGCTGTCACTTACAGGATTTGGAGTATAAGCTCTCTGTGCTTAACCCTAACTGCGAAGCATATTGTTTGGCTTACACTACTCAGTACTACAAAATACTAAGTACTAGTCTGAGCCTGAAGGACCTAGCGCTACAGATTACTACTTCTGGCTAGGTTACTTGCATTGTTACTTTTACAGAGAACAGTAAAGCCATGCATTCATAGTGCTACAGCACTGTATGGTACATTGTCTTATGTATTGTATCTTATGGCTTCACAGAACAATAGAGTCATGTCCTCTTACAAGCGGCAGCGCTCAGTGCTACATTTTACTACAAGTAGTAATTTGTAGTATTATGTGGGGTTAGGGTTAAAGTGGGAAAGGCACTGTACACAGAATAGCTAATGACCATAAGAGCAAGTGATGGGCAGTCACGTTTCACTATCGGTACTTGTCTTATTTTGTAGGGTTGAGTCGATGGACGAGGGAAAGGGAGGCTTCATTGCAAATAACAAGATGCCTTGGGCAAATCATTTCACCCCTATATGCCTCTGTCAACCTGGAGTGAATGGGTTCCTGTGAGGGCAGAGGTGGTTATGGAATTTAGGTGTTAAGGTGAATTTAGGGCTTTGCTCTCTGCAGGGAGCTGAGATGGTCTTGGGAATGGTCACATGTTGTGAGCCCTGTGAGCAGGGATCAAAACAACGTATTGCCATCTTTGAATGATCGATACTGTTAGATACTGTGTGCATTGTAAATTCATTAATATTAGTACAAGCAATTGTTATATTCTGTTATGTCTTTTAGATCCGGGCCAAGGAGGCACACAATCTGACGGCCATGATGACTCGCAACCCAGCTGACCAGGAGAGAATTGCCATGCTAGAACGCCTGCCAGAACTCTGCCGCATTCTCAGAGTGTATCCTTTATGCATCGTCAGAGTCGTTGGAATTTGTCACAGCCATTCAAGATCCTTGTGCCTATGCTTTGCAGACCATAAAGTCGCTACTAGGAACTGGCCGACTGTAGCATAGAGTGCCATTGCGTGCCATACCACGATCTGACGTGATTTCATTCTTGTCAGTAACTCGTTCTCACAGACTCTAGTTCTTCTTTGTATTATGGATCAACTGCCGCAAAGTTTGGATGAATTCTGTTGGGTGTGAGTTGCAGAATCTAGGAGAATATCGAGAAATTTCCTGTAGAAACTTACCCACTGTAGTTGGGCCAGCCCGACTACGGGCGCTGCAGTGGGGACCAGTCCAACTGTAGTTGGGACTCATGCCATAGTTGGAGCATAAACACTAACAATAGTATTCAGATGGTTTGAATGCCGCTAACTAAATGTATGTCACTTGTAATATTATTTGTTGATTTGCTGCTTAAATTGAGTTTTAGTCACCGAAAATGCTTCTTTCAGACTCTGCTCCTAAAATGCTTTTAGTTTACGTGCTACAATACAGCTATCATCTTTTTATCTTTTTTTCCAAATTTGTAAACTAAAACGAATTAAATTTAGTCATTTGCCCTTGACTTTCCTGATCAGATTTTTCCTCTCGGAGAAGAAAGCTGCCCTACCCGTTGAAGCCGTCATTCAAAAGTTAGCCGATAGTTACCCGTCTGTGCTTTCTAAAGGTAAAGTCGTAAATACCCCGTTGTCGTAGTTATTGCTTCTTTGATTGAGTTTTGCCATCACCTTATGAAACGCCTCGTGATCGGTGTCTGAGAAACGTGAACTGACTGTGTTATCAATCACATTGTCTAACTGTCAGTGAGAGGAGAATCAGCTTCAAATTCGGGAGTGGCATTTTGAAAAGAAATCCCTGTGTCTTCTTCCTGTTAATCAGATCTGTTTCTGTGCTGATCAGAAAATTAGGGACGTGAGGAATTAGAGATTTGTGGTAAAAAAAATATCAGATTCTTGTTACTGCACAGTGTGGCACCATGCCCTTGCATTTTTGGCTGATGGGTCACGTTTTCTGACGGTGTGATTTACTCTGTTATTTTTAACAAGTCTGCTGGCTTCATTAACCATGTTAAATTTGCTAAGACCATGCCACCTGCTAGCATAAGAGACCTGGTTTTTTTTTGCTTATCCTTTACAGCTCAAGTTGAGAAGCATGTTAGTCTCATGGTGGAGGTCCTGCCGCAGTGGCTGAGCAAAGTCGTAGTGCGCAAGGATCACTATCTAAAGATGGACAAAACCAAAGACATGAGTCAGATAAACGACAGGGTGAACCAACTGCTCAAGGAGAACAAACAGGTCAAGGGTTAAAGGTCAAAACATCTGCAGAAGGGGCTGTATGTGAGAAGAATCACGGGCCCTAACAAAATGGGTTGATTTGGGGTCATCATCTAACTTAAAGTACACATGAGGCCAGATTTTGTTTGGATGCGTCCAGTTTTTTGTCCATGTTTTAATATGTGCAGGTTCATTGTCTGTTGTAGGAGAATTCTGTTAATTAAGAGTTATGGGGAGCTTTGTGTGACCTAAGAGTTCATATGTAAAAACTTTTAAAAGGGATTCAACTCGACTAGAGGAGTTTGTTCTTGCATTATGTACGCACAGCACCCCAAAGAATATGAAATTGATGTCATGAAGCTTTCACTGCGGAAATGAAAACAAAATTTGGTTTCCTGGACAGATATTTGCTCTACTTTGCATCTGCTTTGTGGCCACACGTAAACTGGCCGCAGTACAAGTTCAAATGCTTCTTTACTTGTTGGTGCTTAGCAAAGAACGCAAAATATTAATTCAAGGGTTTTTGATACAGAACTATTGGAAAGTGGGAACAGTATTCGTGTGAAAAAATGTACTTTTAATTTGTGTAAAAAGTAAACCTTTAAATAGTCAGACTCATGTATTTTGTGATAAACTTTATAGCTGAATGTAAACACGTGCCAAAACTTCTTTTGTTCGATTTAGGCCTATCTACAGGAATTTGTGGTCTTTTTCTCAGATTATTTCAGGAATGCCCTAAGATGTTATACATGTACCGATGTATCTGCAGATTGGTATCATGTTTAGCTGTGCACATGTGCAGTTCCATGTTATGAAAATCAAAATGTGTCCTTTAGTTTTAATCTTTTAACTTTGTGAAAATGTGAAAGGAAATCAGCTCGAATTATGTAAAGAAAGTTTTTTAATTGCAAGATTGTGAGAACCGTAGTAAACTAACTCCTTATTAGTGATGATGGCAGAGTTGGCTTAACTCACAACCTTTTTGAAACTGTATTAACCTCCCCAGCTCTCCCCTTTTAGCTTTATTGACATTGAAATTTTGTTTGATTGAACGTTGATTGCTTTGAAATGGTTGGTACTGTCAGGGAGGTAAATCTACCTGCAATGCTTTGTCATGCACAACAGGTAAATGCATACTTTCGATTTAAAAAAAAAATGAACCTTGATCCTCATAATCGTTTGACTGTTGTTGTAACTCTGAGCTTGTTTACTTGTGGAATAAAACTGTTACTGTACGAAGAGAAATGTAGCGTTTGAACGTCTTCCCTTTCATCTTTCAGGGTGGTGAGTTCTACATTCACAACTGAGTAGTTGTCCTGGCACGAGTCCTAAACTTCTCACTCCTTTACTCTCTGGTTAAATCCAACAGAGGGCGCACCTACCTGGATTTTGACGAGAGCGCGCATGCGAGTAGGGGTTTTCTAATCGGATTCATCTTCCCCTTACTGTTGAAGTTCGAGGAGTTGTTAGATAGAAAAGTGCCACATAAAAACAAAAGTGCATGCCAACACAGCCAAAAACTGAAATATAATAATTAATTCCCAATGTTAATACTGAAGCCCAGTTGTTGGGGGACTTCCCCCTGCAAAAATTAGATGAATAAAAATGGGGGGGGGTAGGAATGAAAGAGGATGAAGTCACCAATTTTCTTGAAAGTTTCCTTAGAAAGCTACAAAAAAAGGTGGTTTGCCCTTTCCGTGGAAAAGACTCGAGTGACGTACAGACACTATAGCGGGGAACTATTTTGAAGGCGTAACCCGAAACAGCATAGCCCCGTAGCAAATGGACACAAAACCGAAGATAGCATTTCTTTGGCCAACACCACAGGTGTTGTGCCGGTTGTTGGTTATACTTTCAAATGTAGTACCTTGATGCTGGGGCTGCCTTTAGGCTTGAATTTAGCGCCTTGGAGGGGGCAATTAAGACTTGGCCTTGAGGGAATCATGCCTTGCAATTTAGGCCGTGGTTTTCATAAGGCCCATTTATTTGTGAACTTTCTTGCTAAATTTGCTTGAAATTTCGCAGTTCTACAAAACAGCAGTGAGCTGCCTGCAATGTCTGCAGTAAATATGTTTTGTCGTAGAAAAGAGAAACACCCCGGATTAAATTTGCTCGTCACTTTCGCTTTTACACTAAGCAACACATATAAAATTTGTTACCATAATAGCCCTGGTACATTTTGCTGCTTCTCCCCAAGCAAGGCTACCAGTAAAAGATTTTTCTATATCCATGTTTTTGTAGGGCCAGGGAAATGTATGCTCTTATGTACTTGTTTTGGGTAACGATGTCATGTTTCCAGAGTTGCTGACTCGAGTCATGTGACTTGGAGTCGAGTCGCGATTTTTGTGACTTGTGACTTTACCTGTAAATACCAGCTTTGACTTGTGACTTGACTTGGACTTGCAACAAATGACTTGCTGCCACCTCTGCATGTTTCATATCGCGTTTTACGTTATATGTCCACTGATGCTACAACCAACAAAGACCTGGACAACCGCTTCTCCAAAGCCAACCGTCGAGACCTTGGGCGCCCAGCTAAGACAGGGTGGTTAAGATCCACCTTCGGCACCTCTTCACCAAGCTTAAGGTCAAGGGTGTAGGCCGGGGGGGGTTGTGGACGCACCCCCCGGCAGAAGGGAGTCCCCCCTGATGTGTTTATTTTTATTTTTACAACTCAACAGCTGTACGTTATTTTATTAAAGTGAAAGTACGTGGCTTTTTGATACACGATGACCGAAAAGTAAAATAGCAAATATATGAATCTGGGGAAATCTGCTTTTCACGTGCGGAAGTTGGAGTTCCGCTTTCTTGAAAATCGCACCCCCCGGCCAAAACAGCCATCGCCCCCTGCAGATGTACAGAGCAGTCCCCACCCTAAACTACAGAGCAGAGACATGGGTCCTGCACTGGAAACAGGTGCAGCTGCTCGAGCGATTCCACCATACTGCCTGCGCACGGTCCTCAGCATTAGATGACCGGATTGTATTTCAAATGGGAGGTGTCAGCACATCTGCCGAGGATCGGAGCCATGGTACTGAAGCACCAGCAGTGATCGGCAGGCCATGTCGAAAGGATGAAGAACGTCTAAAGCAAAATCGAGGGGGCCCCAAAAGCGCTTCGAGGAACAGCTCAAAAACCAGCTTTCAATAGCTAACATCCAACCTGCTGCAGATACTGTCAGCGCCACCCTGTGCATCTTCTACCGAAAAAAATTGAAAGCACTCAAACTTATGAAGAGCAGTGTTGATGTTAATAATGAATTGTGAAAAAAAATCTGTATGACCCCGATAACATTTAGGATACGAATTGCTAGTATTATCAAATGACTGTTCGTTTGTGTTTAAAAAAAAGAGCTTTCAACTTGCATTTCCAAAACTTGTTAATCAGAGGCAAATGATCTCTTATGTTTTCATTTAATCTAGCAACTCTTCACCTTATTGAAAAATCATTTTAAAAAATGACATGCTCAAAAACTGTTTTTCTATAGAACACGTATGTAATGTCGAAGTTTTGTTTAAAGGCAAAATTATACTAACTAAACTCTAAATTACACGTACTACAAACACACCCATACACGCACTAAAAACTAAACATTAGGTAAAATTATTCACATTGCACAAAAAAATTATACGTAATAAATCACGCATAAGTATATTATGAAAAAAATAGGATAGGGCTTGTACCGGTATTGATAATGTAAGACGAATGTATGTCAAAAAAAATTAAGGCTGCAGATGGTCCACCGGTCCAGAGTGTAATTCGAACTTTTACCACCAGTTCAGGCTTTTTTGGACAACCGCCTACTGTTTAACCATTAGGTGCCTGTTGACTGCCAGCTACTTGTTGATCACCAGCTATCTTTTAAGCATAATTTACCTTTTGAACACTGGCTTTTTTCAGCAACAGGTACCTGTT